GCACACCCCTTAGCTGTGTGCACGGCCCGTAGCGGACGGGCTGCAGCGCCGCCCAGCGTTTGTTGCCGCGGGCGCGCAGGGCCGGGAGCTCCGCCCCTCTCCCGGTGTGGTCCCTCCTCCGCGCGGCAGCCCCCGCCCTTAAGTGTCCGGCCGGGATCGGGCGTGGAGCCGCCTGTGCCACGGAGTGGCGGGAGCGGCCCGGCGTGGGGCCACCCACTCGCCTGCGGGGTTGGAGCCTCCGGTCGGCCCGCCCGAGACCGGGGCAGCCGCTCTTTCCTCTCCCCGCGGCACAGCTCTCCTYAGGTAAGGGGGCAGCAGCGTCTCCCCTCCCTTTCCCTCCCTTYGGCCTCTGGTCGGCGAGAGCCGCTGGGATCCGGCCCCGGCCCTGGTTTTCTCTCGAGGGTCCCGCCAGCCGCGCTCTGAGCCCTTGGAGCCGGGGCCTCTACAGCCGGCACGGCCGGGCAGAGCTCGCCTTCCCTACCGGCAGCTGCCGGCGGAGCGCGGCCGCCTCCGAGCCCGGTAGCGCGCTCCATTCCTCTGTTTCCCCGCAGGGAGGCCGCCGGCGGGAGCAGCTCCCGTGCCAATGCTGCTGCCGGCCTGGGAGCTGTGGCTCTACGGGCTCCTCACCGTGGGCTCCCACGTCTACGCTTTCTACGAAGCGCACCAAGTATCCCGAAGTAAGTGTGGGATGTGGGCGTGCTCTCTTGGGCACAGCTTCCCGCCCGTGGCTGGTCAGACTGCTCGGTGTGAGTTCTTGTCTCTGGGTTGGTTTCTTGTTTTTCTGCGAGAAGCCCCCGTGTTCTTCCCAGCTGCCAACCCGCCCTACGCGAGGAAGCAGCATGCGGGTGCCACTGGGAATGGAGCTTTGTYCCAGACCTTTTTTGCCTTTGAGTGCTAGGAAGGCCCATGGTAATGGTGTCCTGGGATGTGGTTGTCAGAAAAAAGATGAGTGAGACCTCTGACGCTCAGCTACTCAAATAGAGAAATTTCAGGAAAGCTGGGTTTGAATTGTCTTGTTTTTCCAGGGTAGTCATTGCAGYCCCTTGTAGGTGGGTAGTTCAGAAGTAGCTGTGCCTTCTAATGGTATTTGCCAGGGTCTGGAGAGGCCCTAGGACAGGTGGGTGCTCCCTGCCTGGGGCTCCAGTGCTGAATCTGGGGCTCAGAGCAATGGTTGAGTTGTCTGTTCAGCCTTGTAGTCAGTTTGTTTCCAATYACCTCCCTCTGCCTCCTATAATCTCTTGGTAGCTGCTGTGGTGGCTTAGTTTGGAGMTGTGGAGCTATGTCGTGCAGAACAAGGGTGGGATTTTAAGCAAATGAAGCATGATTTATAGGTCAAAAGAAGCTGTGTTATAGGACATTGGTATTTTAATGGAAATAAAAGCGGTATTATAAGAGTATAAATAGCTAGAGAGGCTAAGTAACGAAATATATATTGCATTTTGTTGGGCTTTAATCAGCAAGGTTCTACAATATACTCTACCTGGCTCTTGAAAGCACTCAAGGGAAAAACAGGACTGCCAGAAAGGCATTTGCAGAGCAGCAGCAGAAGTGCTGTGTAACTTGGTACATGTGCACCCATGCATATAGCAAGTCTTTGGCAGAGGTGGCAAAGGGCTCTGGAGGCAGCTTCACTGATAAGCTTTCCCCTGTTTTGGCTGTACTGGCAGCTCTCGAGTCTGTTTCCCCCTTCTGCTCTGGTGGGAGAAACCAGGCAGTTCTGAAAAAAGGCGAGTGAGGTCTTGTATGGTAAAAGGCAGGTCACTGCTACTGTCCCTGTTGCAAGTGGGAATCAAAGCACAGGTTCTGGAGAAYTGTTTTGCCATGGCTTTGGGGCAGAGCTGTGGCATGGTTGGGTCCCTTGCCTAGTGAGCAGTCATGTAGTGACCTCMCTTCTCTGGATGTGGGTATCCTTACTGATTCCAGCATGGGAATATGTTGCTCTTGAGCAGCAGAGAACTTATCCCTGACTCGTCCTGCTCTGGCTGCTGTGTCCCTATCAAAGTTTTGTTCTTCCCTGCAGAGTATGAAGCTGCGATGGACAGGTTTGAGCTGGACCCAGGGACCCTCTTTTGGGGGCTAAAAAAGGTAGGAGGGGTAGCAGCATCTCACTTTGGGTCAACAGTGTGAACATTGTGCCTCCATGCCCTCTATGCATCCAAGCTTCTGATTTAGTTTCAGAAGTTGTAGCAACAGTTAGATATTCATAGTTAATTTTAGTCTAATATTTCTGATGAGGAAGAGAGATTGYCAGGGTGTCTCTTCATCTAAGAATCATAATCAAAGTTTTGTTCCTTTTCATGATCCCTGGCTTACGTGTGTATCCTTTGCTACATCAGTTAATAACCCTCTATTTTACTGTTTGGCCTTAAAGCCTTAATCAACCTTGACACTTCCTGCAGCCTTTCCCTCCTTTTTCTTGTCACTGGGTGATTTGGATAGTGCTTAATGTCAATGAATATGCTTTTSTCTTGGTTGGCCTGTAGTACAGCATAGAGGAGAACAGATTTTTGAGGTGTAACATCTTAAAGAAACAAAATCGGTAGTTAAAAAAAAGTAAGAAAACTGGTAGTCCTCTACCCCAAACCAAAAACCAAACACATCTCCACCCCACTTGCTTGCATTTCCTCAAAAGGGTATGAAGTCAAAAGCAAATAATGCAACTAATACTGAGGGTTACTTATACAAAACCGGGAATGTCTGTGGAAGTGCTTTGGTGTTTAGGTGTGCCATCACTGCTGCTAACAGACCTTTGATATGTGCTTTCTAGAAAGAAGCTGTAAGACTGTTTTGAGATGAACTTTTAATGATGCTCTGTATGGGACATGAGTTGATCCCTCTTACCTAATTTAGATGAAAATCTCATGCCACAGATAACTCCAGCTGACCTAACTCCATCTGGTTGCACGTAAGTTTTRTAGAAATGGGAAGTTAAACTTTTCCAGCAAAGCACCTTTCCACTGAAGTTCCTTGTTTTCCAAGGGAGAGCAGAGTTGCTCTCCAAATCCCTCAGAAGTGGTGCTTGCTCACCATCAGCACCAGTGTGAGGCTCAGGAGACACACCACTATCTAAAGTTCTATTTATCTGAACTTTGCCCCACTGGAGTTGAAAATGATGCTGTCTGTGTTCACTGCTGTAAGTGATCCAACTAGATTGCTAAAATGATGTTCTGCAGATGTAGRAGTTCTGTTGGGTAACATACAGATGGCATATTACAGAGGTATTCCCTTGTCCCTTTGGCCAGATGCACATAGTGACCAGTTCCTTTCATGCTACAGGACCCCATGGACTTTGAGTGGAGCTACTGGATTGAATGGGGAAGGGAACGTATACTGTGGCTTCTGGCTGGTCACTTGCTGGTATCACAGATGTCCAGGCTTTTCGTGGAGAAGGTATATAGGGATTTTCTTCACAGCAAGGAGGGGTTTGTTTACTGTGGACATGGAAGGCTTTCCAGTGAGGCCACTGAATGCAGTAAATCCCATTCTGTGTTGTGAATTGTGTGTGGCGGTTGGTTGCCTTAATGTTTGGAGACTTCAGCCTCCAGCCTGTAAGAGCCTCTTCAAACAAGCCATTAAACAGCTTGTTTGACTTCTACACCTAAGAAGGGTGCAGTTATTCCTTTTTGAGGAAAGTGTGTGACATGATGGCTGCTTGAGTTTTGGCATGATTGCTAAATGGTTGCATGATTGTGGGAAATGATTTGTGTGTGGTGTCCCACCTGCCAGTTCGGGGAAGGAAAGGAAGCAGTTATGTTCTTCCTCAAATTCCAGAGGCTTTGATTTTCACATGRTGCTACTACAGAAACACCTTCCCTTTCACCATTAGGGATGCAGTTGGGTTTCCATGTGTGTTCCTAACCTTGTTGACTGTATTTGTCTCTACTGCAGAACCTATATAGGCAGCACARGTATTGAGTGCCTTTTTTTCTTTAGAAATAATGAAACTAAAARTTGTTAATTTTTCTTTTTTGGCAGTATAAACCATGGTGCTTGATGGTTTATGGAATGGCTGCCTGCTGGTTGTTACTGGGAATCAAGGGCTTTGCTGTCATTTTGTTACATGCAGCTATTTCCTTTGCTGTGGCTCAGTTTCARCTGTCACTCCTGACATGGTTGTGCTCCCTTATCCTGCTGTCCACTTTGCGCATACCAGCTGTGGAAGAAACCAAGGTAAGGTGAGAAGGACTAAGTAAGCATCAAATTAATTATGGTGGTGGTTGTCTGGAAGGGCATCTATCTTTATGGCAGCATACTGTCCCTTCAGTTGAYATAAACTGATATAAACCAGCTGGGTTGGTTTGAAAAATCTTAATCTTTAGCGCTGCAGTGACTCATACTGGAGCTCCTCAGTTACAAGAGTCATATTTCTTTATCATGGTGGCCAGGATAAAGGTGCATTGGGATAAATGTATCTATTATGTCTATGTATCTGTATGTCTATCCCAGTGCATTGGAATAAATGTATGTCTATTAATGTTAAGTGGTATTCAGTAGTGCTGGAGTGTAGTAATACTTCACTGGTGCTCTATTAAACACATTTCATTGTAGCTCCAATCATACCAATTTTAGCCGCTGAGWTTTGGATTTGTATCCAGGAGTTACTCAGTTAAGTCTGCCTCTACTTATTGGTGATTGTGACTTCTGCAGGGAGAGAGACTTTCTCTGACTGTTTGATTAGTACCAAATGAGTTACTTGCATCAATCAGTTGTAAATGAGCTCAGTTTTGCTCTTTGCCTAGTGACTCTTTCTGGGTAATACAGATTGGGAAAAACTTCTTCAGTTGATAAACGCAACCCTGTTGTGTTTCACTGGACTAAGGGAAAAACTGTGCATTTGTTATAAGGCTTGTTGGCCTCATGTTTAGGGGGAGGGGGAATGAGTATGTAGAGTCTCTTCATGTGGTGTGGTCAGTTTTGTGCCTTGCTCTGAGGAGAAAGGGCCCACTGTAGTCAGCCAAACTACATTTTSTGGTGTTTTCAAGTTTTTATGTGATGATAGGTGTTTGTAGTTGGCAGCAAGTGTGATACCAAGTGTCAAACAGACAATAAAGGCTCAGTACCATTTTTTCCACCTTAAGCTTTCTCAGGAGTGACTGATTCTCTTCAGATCTGGCTTCAGCTCTAGCAGTCCCTYGGCTATGAATTGTGTTGCCAGCTGGTCTGAATATTGTATTACTGGACTAAATCAGAGGTAGATAATGTTTCATTTTTGTGAGAARAGCTCTCCTGCAGTCCTAGTTCTCTGCAGCCTAACATGTTTCTGGAATCAAGGTGTTGTCTCTTTATGCTGRCTGGAGGTCCTTTCTCCAAAAGCCAATGTTGTTGTTACTGTGTTTAGTACTACTCGCTTCAGATACTCATTCCAGCTGCTGTTGGCTTTAGYTTCTTCCTGCTGCTGCTGACCCCAAAAGTTAGGATCTGAGTAGCCATTGCTGTCTTGCCGTAGAGAAAATACAGCCTTGCACCATCATGATCTGGCTTTGTTTTGTCTTGCAGAGAAAGTGGTATGATACTGAAAATGAGTATTATCTGCTGCTCTTCACTGTGTCTGTCCGCTGCCTCTTCTGTACTAGCTTCAGCTTGGAGTACTGCTGGCATGCAGCRCCCCAGAAGTCATCCCTCTCATTCCCCTGGATGCTGGCATATGTGTTTTATTATCCTACATTTCACAATGGGCCCCTTGTGAATTTTGATGAGTTCAGTGAGCAGGTAACAGTGGTGGTTATTTGGATGTCTAAAGCTGACTTCCACATAATTATAAAAATCATCAAATAATCTGTAGGAATGTGACAATTTTGAGTGTATCATTAGGCACTTTGCAGTGTCCTGGATATCAGCTTTTAAGACAAACCTGTCTCCCCAAGTTCTTGTACTTCACAGGATGTTCTTGCCTGACATCACATTGCTCCCTTCAACCAGGGAGCCAGGGACATGCTTTGTGACATTTGGAGAGTGTTCATAATTTTAACATGCAGCTGCTGGACTGGATTTTTGTTTTCTTCTTCATCAGGTGGAATAAAGTAATGTTTTCAACATAAGCTTGCTATTAACTCTGAAACAGATTTCAGAGTTACAGAAAACTATCAGCTTTCTGATAGTTTTGGGAATTCCTGAAAACTCCAGTTTCTCCTCAGGTTGATGTGAAAACAGCTAATGACTTACTAGGAGCACTTTGCTTCAATTGAGCAGCTTGTTTAATGTGTAAGACCTGYCAATAGTAGGATGCTTTTCTCAGTCTCTTACAGGCTTATTTTCAACCTGCTTTTTACACAGTGGGAAAAGTCCACGTTTTCATCTTTTATTGTTTTCCATATTTTCTTGCACACTTTTAAGTAAGAAGTGGTATCACAACCTATTATGTCTATAGCTAAAATTACGGTGTCAAAATGGACAGTGAACATTTCAAACCATAAAACTGCTTTTTCAGTTTCTGTATAGAAGCCTAGGGATTGCTTGCTTCTGTTTATATTTGGGAATTTTCTGTTGAAGCTAAAGCAAATACTGGGCTTTATGAAAGTGCAACTAGATTCTAATGGACCCTTGAGTGACAAGTCCTATGCTCTATTGTTTTCACTTACTTTGGAAGATGCAAGRTGGAATGTTGTTATTCTGGGTGGGTATTGTGGGAAAAGTCTGCATGGAGTTGCAGAAAAACTAAGGTAATGCTTTGTACTAATTATTTTTTGTAGCTACTGAAGTGTTAACTTCCACCTAAATCCTTGTACACTTAGGAGAGGGACAGTTGTACTGTCTTTCCTAGGACTGTTTCGGAAGACCTATGAGACTCTAAGCTGAAAGCAGCTTGGGAATAGCTGGTAGGAAAAATTGAGGGGGCTTACTTTGAAGCTTAGCTCACCTGATGTGGCTCAGCAAAGACCTATGCAAAGAGCACATACATTCTTGGTGTTGGAAGAAAAAATATTATTGAGAATGAAATGTATTTGCAGAAGGTTCTCACTTAAGTAGGTGACAACAGACATGTTTGGTTAAAGCCATAAAGAAGATGGAGCAAACTGAACAACCTTAATGTTTCTTGTTGGTGTTTGCTGAAGGGCAACAGAGCTCTTACCTGAGCAGAGGATATTCCCTTGGCAGGTGAGGTCAGAAAAGGGTTTCAAAGGTCGCAGTACCCAGCAGTTGATTGAAAATGCAGGACATGAAGAGAGTCTTTATTGATACTATTGGAAGGCACCACTCTCAGAACCCCTTRACTGAAGCTGAGGCTGGAATGAGGGCTCCTACTGAGCACATTGTGTAGCAGAAATTTTGCAGCTGGAGACAATGAAACTGTTGTATGGCCCAGAGTATAATGCCAGTTCTGGCATCCACTGCCAGGCCAAAATGAGACACTGACGCTCTGTAGCCTTTTTGAATTTTTGGGTTAAAACAAGGCATAACAATTCTAGACATGGGTTTGAAGGCCTGTTGTGCAAATTCCTGTGATAAAATGGTAGTCTCTAAACTTTCATCTAGCTGATACAAAGGAATCCTCCAAATGAGTGTGCATGTTAGCTGTACTGTGCTTGCGATTGAGGACYTGTGCAGATGTGTTGATTACTTTCCTTGTATTTGCATTTTTGGTGGCCCGTTAAAGACTGGAGAAGGAAATGCTGCACACAATAATAGATGTGCAATGTGTGACTGAATTTTTAGGCATTCCTATGTTTCTATTTTTTGATTCTATTATCTTTTATTGCAGAAAGATGGTGCAATAATAATATGGCAATGTATTTACTGTAGTTAGCAGTATAAGAGTTTGGAGCATCTTGAGAAGCCTGTCAACCACAAACTTTGCCTTATCTGGTATTTAAGTTGCACTTCCATTTGGTCAGCACCTCATGTAAGTCTTGCTGAGTTTGGCAATGCTGTGGGAGAAAAACTAAGAACTATCTTCAAGTCATCAATTCTCTGCACTTGGTAGAAGTTGGAGGTATTTTGAGTAAGCAGTCTTTATTCCTGTGTTTGGAAGGGCTGCTGCTTGGAAAACCTCCTTCATAGCTGTAGTTTCTTCAATCTTTTTAGATTATTTCCCGAAGTCAAGTTACAGAAAGTCTTGTGTCTGAACTCTGTTCAGGTTAACAACACTTGCCCTGTTTTACAACAAGTTTAGTGCAATGTGTATTGACATTTGGCTTATTGTTGGTTTCTTCTGTTTACTGAGGTTGAGAGTGGAGAGACCAGTCTCCCTTGAGAGTGTGTCAGGAAACTCCAAATGGTGTAGTCAAAAATTCTCAGGATGAATGAGTTTTGTGCCTGGTAATCTTTTAATTTCTTCTTTAGATGAGGAGACAAGAAGCTTTCAATTTGAAGACCAATCTCAGCATCTTAATTGTGGGCATCGTTCGTATTTTCTTTTGGTGGTGCCTGGCTGAGCTGATGATTCACCTCATGTACATCCATGCTCTCTACAGTAGTGCTCTGCCTTTGGAATCTGCGTCTTACTGGGCCTTGGGTGAGTACAGAAGCAATAGCAGAAATCTTTCTTCTTCCCCCCACTTCAAGAACCCAAGTCTGCACCTCTTTTAAGTTTATTTGTAGGTACTTAAATGTAGCACATTAAAGGCAGCCAGTATCATAAGAGTGGTCTGCAGACTCTTAATATAACATTCAGATTCTCCATAAGCTTAGTTGAACTTACCGAGTTGCTTCCTAAATTAAAAACATATTTTCTACTTTTTCCAGGCTAGAGTATCTCTTTAAATATCTAAAATGTTTCTGCCCCTCAAGTTATAGAAGTGGACACTTAAAGRAGTTTATCTAGTGTGGGGATGGAGGAAGGGAGATGTTGAGAATTATTTTTGATCTCCTTTTGTTTGATGTTTCTAGTTCATATTCACATTGAAAGGTAAAAGTACAGAACTTGTGGAAATAGTAGAGGGAAGGACTTGCAAATAAGATGACCTGRAAGTAGTAGTCAGTGCTTCTTAGTTATGTGCTCCTGCTTGGCTTCCCCCACTTCTRCCTTGTCCCCAGGACCCTGGTATTTCATTAAAATGCCCAGCTGTGAGGAAAAGGATTGCTGACAAATGGCAGCATCAATAAGCAAGAGCTTTAGGTGGTGGTATGTAAGCAACAGGCATATGTGGTTGATCTGATTCCTGCCYCCACTTCCCAGCTGTATCACCTGGTAGGAGGAATAAAAGCAAAGAAACCCCAGACCTTAAAACTGGGTTATGAAAACGCCTTGGTGATTCCTGACTTGCAGGAGGTGTCTCTTAGACCAGGGATCAATACACACACACTGGTACAGTCCTGGCCAGTGCTCACTGAAGCTCACCTCTGTCACCCCAATGTATTTGTGTTGGAGGACACTGCATTGGTCAGCAGAGGGCAATGTGTGCACTCRCTGTATAGCCCTGTGTGCATACACACTTGATACGTGTTGTAGTATATAATTAATATATCTAAAAAAGGGTAGGGCAGGTGGAGAGCAAGAAAGGGAGAGGTTTACCTCRGCGGTTTGTTCTAATCCTCACTCAGTCACTGTTTAGAAAGGGGATTCTGAGTTTTTGTTTTCTGTTCTAAACGTCAATTCATTGATGAGTAAAATCTATTAGCTCCTGGTGCTTTTGTGTGTACCAAAACACTGGCCACTTGATAATGCCCGGAAGGCTACAGAATTAGGGATGAAATATTCCAGTTGTGGTGCTACTGGTGGATTCCTCCCTCCCTTCAAGACTACAAGTGTTGATTTTATAGGATGGTGAGAGAATTACTTTATAGACAATGGCTAAGTTGTGTGTATATTTATKTGATGAAATAAAGTGTGTTATTCTAAGAATTAAAATGCATTTTGAGCAGAGGGTTAGAAATGGTGAAAATGCCTCAAAGCCTCAGGAGRTGAAAGCCAGTGTTAGAGCAAGTTTGGACTGTAAAGATGACTGATTTCAAGTGAAATGATTGTATTTTAAGCAGTTGCCTGTGAAGACCMTGCCTTTAGAAAAGATGTACTCAAAATTTAATTCTAGTCTGACTGAGCTTTGTTTTTGTAGCAATGAAGGCAGGTGTTTAAAATACACCAGAAATGAGATTTTGAGCTAGAAGTTGATCACTTAATGTTTTTTCTGCAGGTTTTGTCACAATTATTATATGGGTCTCCTTAGACTCGAATCGGTGATAGACCACTCTTGTGACTTGCTTAGGGAGCCACCAATATATGTGTATAGGTACTGGCAATAAGTTACTATTAAGTCTTACTGGACTTACAGATCTTACAGATCTTACCATGCTTCTACACCAATTCCTGTACAGAGCCAAACACTCCCCTCTGTTGCTTTGCATGTTGTGTAATTGGAACTAGTTTCATCAGATAGCTGAGTSTTGAAACCAAGTAAGCAGCTTGCTGGTGACACAGGAGGATTATTCATGGTATGTAAGCCTTTCTGCCCTGATGGGGTTTGTTCATTTTGGGCTTCCTGTTTAACTACAGCAACTTGAAAACAGCATGAGACATCTCTTTACACTGTGATGCCTGGCTGCCCTGGTATCYTGGTAAACTTAAGGGAAGGGCTATGAGGCTGTTCTGCAGTCACCTCTAATTAGAGAGCTTGTATCTGCTACTCCATTTTTTTTTCTAGGATAACTTGAATAATGGGCAGTAAATACCAGCAGTGCAGGTAAAGACAACACTGCTGTGACATTGTCCTTAGGTGCTGAGAGCAAAATGTCAGTCTACTCCTCACTCACGAATGTGAATTTTCAGTGTGTTCTACAGCTCTGTGTGGTGTTCCTGTAAAGTGGGACAACAAAGAAATAAAAAAAAAATAAACCCCAAACTAAACCCTTACAGTTACAATGCTTATKTAAAAGGGCTAGTATGTAACAGTGTCAATCATGGCCATGTAAAGCAGAAATGCTAAAGTGACCTAAACCAATATTGCTAAGAGCACGCAGGTATAAAATGAAAGGAATAGTACTTTGAAGAATGTTACCCAGCAGTAAGAGAAAGTATTTTCTCTTGTGTAGATGGAATCAGAGGCAAATGAAGCAGCAACATACCAAGTGGTACAATACAGCTTTTCAGTAACCAAATATTAGGTATCACATCCAGAACAGAATGAGGAATATGATGGGACTGTGTCTGTCTCTATGCTTGTTTGCTATGTATGTGTGGCCCTTCAGTTTTTGGGAGAAATGTTAATGTCTGAACACAGAATTAATTTAAAGATGTCAGCTGTGCAACCACAGAACTGTTWTTTATTGGTCCCAGGAAGCCATTGTTTGGAAGATGTGAGCATTTTCCAGAATTCACAAATCATTGTGTCTGTGTTTACATTGTCTATGTTCACAAATGTTTGTGTCTCTATATAGTTAGCTATTGACATATTGAGCAATATCAGGGCATTTGTACTTGTTTTAATGATGACTATCAAATGCAGTGTTTATGGCAATTCCATAGTTTGAGTTGGCATAGCTGCATCTCATTCTGGTAGCATCAGTCAGATTGTCTGAAAGAATAGGGTGCTTTCAGAATTAATGACACAGCAGGAAGACCCATATTCCATGTTAATGGAAAYCATGGTAGTTCCATTTTTAATGTTAATTGGGAATAATTTGCTGCCTTTACATTTTACACTGCAAAATGTAGGTTTGCAGGCACCAAGAGCTAGTATGAATTCCAGTAATCCAGTATCCTGGCAAACTGCAGCATACCAGAAAAAYACCTACACTGTGCCAGATCAGAGGTTCATCTGTTGTACTGGGTAATGTTTTGATATGGTACATAATGAAAGATGAGAAAATAAATTAATAAAGGACAGATAGATGATGATCCTTTTCARTGCTCTTCCAGCTTCTGCAGCTGAGTGAAAAAAAGTATTTTACCAGGGATCTGTCTGTGCTTTGTGTGTGATATACTGACATACACCTGAGATGTACACACAATGTCATCCAATATTTGTCTATGAATTTAATGTATCGGTCCTAACCATGTGCTGTCTTTYTGTTCTAGTGAAGCATGCACAAGGTAGTGTCAATTGGATATCTTTTAATTATTGGCTAGGCTCTACTACGTCAGATGGATAGTTTCATATGAGTGGCATGTAAGTCACTCTAGAGTATTATCTGTTCAAAGGGGGAGCCACGTGGTTCTGTAGTTGCTGATCCTATGTTTTAATTTTTTAGAAGAGGAAATGTTATGTACGTTCTTCTTTGACAGTGAGACCTAAAGAGTAGTCTGTGTAAATTGGATGTAGGGTGATGGCTCTGATGTGTTTGCAGTTTTTTCTGATAAACMCATAGATAGGAAATGGATTTCTGAGTTCATTTGCAGAAGCATGCAGTRTTTTGCTATTGAAATCAGGTAAAAGGAGTCTGAGATTTTTTTCCATCCTGCAAGATAATGATAAGGAGAAACTGATAATATATTTGGCATCTTGAGATCTSTTTTGAAAACTGGAAATATGAACATGAATCAGAAAATTTAGATGATTTTCTTTTCTCTAAAATATTAAGTTGTTCCCTGGGATGAAAAGTAACTTTATCCCAGTAAAAAACAATGCAATGTGGTCACTCTTGGTTTATTTAGAGAGGTTCTTTGTGCAAATAATTACTATTAAACATAATGCTTCCAGTAGATGTTTTCCTAAAATGGTTTGGGTTGCAAAAGACCTTAAAGATCATCTAATTCCAACCYGTTTTTCATGGGTGTTCCTTCCATTAGACCAGGTTTCTCAAAGTCCTTGGGAATATTTGTGGTAGGTGTCTTTAAAGCATGTGCATGCTTGAAAAGCATTCTGGTTTCCTTTAACCTGGAAGACCAGTCTATACCTTGACTGAGAGTCCCTTGRCAGCTGTGTTAGTCTTATTAAAGTAATTTCACTTTGGAACCTTTAAGTCCATTCAGCTTTGTGTAAAAACAAGCACTTAGCCTCCAGGACAAACACTTTACTGCCACTACTCCATCTACATAAGGATGTTTCTTGCTTCTTGTGTGTTGCTGGAAGCATGGGATATTTTGAAATTGATGATATGGCCCCTAATTCTGAGCTGTTGTTAGAYATCTGCCATGTGTGAATCATCCTTCTGAAATGTGACTGCATATTTATCTCTGTTTTCTAGTGGAACCTGTCCTGGTACTTGACAGAAACAAGCATCTGCAATTGTTAATGCCATAGGGTTAGTGTAGCTGCAAAAAGGGTGAAATTGTGATGTTGTGCTCATAATAAAACTGCCTTCTAAGTTACAGTTGACCATGACTTTTGGTGATGGCTTAAGGACGGAAAAATGCCAAGTGTAGTTTGCAGTTCCTGGATACAAATGTTTTGTTGCTTGCTAATGGAAATATTCAATACATTAATTTCTGTTAAAAAATACCAGGCAGAGTTTTGAGAATATGTAAACTAAAACAAATTCAATCTTGTGAATGTTCTAATTTGTAATTATATGTGAAACAAAACTCTATGAAACTTAGGAAATGCAGTTTTGAAGTAAGGTTAAGGAAAATATTTGAMGGTCTATAAATACATTTTAAAGCATAGAAAAGCTTAGAATTTTTTAAGGATTGGAAGATGATATAAAAGCTTCTATAAAAGTAATTGTTTTAGTCTGGGACTTGAAACATCTTGACTGTTGAATGTGTTCTGGTTTTACTTGGTTAGTTTTTTTGGTGGTGGGGGATGGGACCAAGAAACCACAAAGATGGCTCCTGTGACAAAGTTCTAGAAGCTTTCTCCTTCTCCKCCAGCAAAAAGAGTCCTGCCCCCTGTGTTTCAGAGCCATTCCATTGTGGCTCTGAGGTTGATGGACAGGCTGCTGGCCAGTCCTGGCCAATTGCACAGGTTGGTTACACCTCTGTGATGATGTATGGTCTTGTACTTAAGAAGAATTCAAAACAAGATAGAGCGCGGCTGCCATTTAGTATTATCATCCCTGTTAGTGTTAGTATCATCCCTGCACTGGGGGAGGACAGAGGAGGATGGGATGTAAGAAAAAATGGACACCCAAGATCACAGTAAGAAGACAGGTGCTGTTGCTGTGGTGCTCGACATGGAGAAGACAAGCTGTTCTCAAAAGGACTATTTCTTCTATGGGAGACTCATGTAGAAAAGAAAGGCCCTGCACCCGAGATAAAAAAACCTGGCCTTTGAGGACTGCACTGATCATAAGCCAAAAAAGGGGAAGGGGCTTGGACCACCCTCACGTCTGAAGCGAGTTGACGCTCAAAAGAAGCTGTGTTCTRTCAGGAGATTTGAGAGAGTGGCCTTGCCCTCAGAATGAAGCAGCCAGCCTTGGAGGCCTGTTCTCCTTTCTCCCACGAAAGGAGGGCACAGAAAAAGAATCTCATGCCATCAGCAGTTATACACTGGCTGTTTCTTGGGAAAAGAACTTCCACAGCTTAGAGCTGTAAGATCTCTTCTCCTGTGGTGCTGGATGATAACCGTAATGAGTAGTCTGATCTACGTTAAAATTTTCATCCCTGCCCCACCTGTGCATGGGAAAGCATGGAGGGGTGGGGAGGGGCGATCTGGGAGAGACAGGTTCCCAGACAGAATAACAGGTGTCTTAAAATGTCTATTTTTAGTTCTCCTCCTTGTAAATTTTTCCTTATCTCTGTTCCCCTCCCCGGTGCAGTAGTTTTTTAGTATTTTTTTTTTTTTTAGTAATAAATCTATTTTGCAACTTAAGTTATTCAGCTTGTCTGACCATTTCAGGAGCATATATGTATCTTTCTCTCAAGTATGTTATCTTAGCTAAAAGCCATGAATTTTAGTGTTAATTTGGCTTTTGCTCTCCCTTCTGCCTCTCTGGTGGGTGTGGGGAGGGAATGTTGTGGGTGCTTTGGCCCTGGCCAAGTTCAAACCACTACAAAATGCATGGGATTAACATTGGGTACTTTAACTTCATATTTTATCCCTTAACATGTTCTGTTAAAAAAAAAAAAAACCTTGGCTTTGAGTCCTTTGAATTAATTTATTTTGGAGAAAAGATAGAATCTTTGCAGTACTTTTTCCCCTTAGATGTGTTTCAGTAACATTTGATATAGCTTGTTTCCAATTTAAAATAATGTTCATGTTTGAGGAGGAGTTATTATGTGAAGCACTAGAGAAGAAGTTACGTGGTATTGGTAATGAATTTGATTGTTMATTTCATGTTTTTAAATCAGGTGAAGCAGTGTGCTTCTAGCTGCTTTGTGCTAGAATGGAGCAAATGCAAAGCAGCTGGAATATCTCAGGAATGCAAGGTTTAAAGCCTGTGCCTGTTGCCAATGCAGCCCAGCTATTGTGTGGCTGTGAATCTTGCCCTTACTTTTCCCCGTGTTCTGAACTCTCCTACTGTTCCCTACTGTTAGGATAAGTTCAAGACCACTGAGAACTTGATCTATGCRTTTTGATGGAGACCTTTGCCTTGCTGCTCTTGTGAGTCTTAGAACTGCCAGTCAGAGAGCAGCTCGTGTGTGCCAGGGAGTSAMTGTGATGTGATGTCTGTGTTTAAGRTACCARTGCTACTGGGCTGCCTGTTAKTTRCAATAATGGCAACCTGAATGTGTGTTACTGGAGGTGGTGAAATTGCCTTTTTTTTTCATAACTTGCATATTACGACTTTGTATCTGTGAGCTCAGTCTTTCATCACTGTATTTAAAAATCAAATGTATTRATTTTTTGGGTCTCAGGAGAGTGGAAGACTGTTTCTAAATACCTTTCCATCAAGCAGAGTCAAAGGATTTTGAATTTTACTAGTGCACAGACAGCTGTGATCTTCATAATTGGTTTGTGTGGGTGTCAGTGTTCAGCTCTCCAATGAAATTTGTCAGAAAAGGAATGAGACACTGAATGAGAAGGGAATTAAAGCAGAAAGTTGGTTGTACAGATGATTTTGCAGTAATCTAATGTGGAGCTAATTGGCTAGTATCCAAATTGTGCTTCTGATTGTTTGTTTTCCTCTGGGGAAAAATGTTATTGAATACTAGATGCCTGCCTCCCTGAAGTAAAATAACATAAGCCTCATGTCTCAGTATTTTGTTCTAACATCAATTTTTATCTTGTATGGCACAACTGTTTCTTATCATGTGCATGGATTATGATATTAAAGCTAAAAATGTTGGAGTGCCTTAGAAAAATAGTGGATACATGTAGGCCAGCAGGAATTTTGCATTTGACATTAGTAATTTCACTCTAGGTTATGATACAGTAAATGAATTTTTAATGCTTAGCCCTTGGTTGTCATCCACAGTATATTCATTAGTCAGCAGAATGCAATAGGGATGTTCCCCCTGCTCAAAAAAAGGCAGGTTACTTAAATTTGCATGGAGCTGTACTGCCACAGTCACATTAACAACTTTGTCTCCAAGGAAAGTCTGCTGGAAGGCTTTAAAGTTGGCCTGAATGTCTTAAGTCCTTCAGTCAAGCTAGGTAATATAACTGAGTGAAAGCAGAGCCCTGGAATGGRAGGAGAGGTAGCAATTGCATTTTATATTTTTTTCTCTACTGAAATATAATTTTAGTTTCCCTTCTGTGTGGTGAGATTTTACGTATGTCGATTGTCAGATGGAAAAGTTCCCCAAAGTCGCTGAGTCTTTCAAGAGTGACCTCACCAGTTTCTGTAAAGGTGTTGTCCTCTGTTTTTTTACTTACTGGTCAATACTACTTGTTCAACAGAAAACATTTAGAATGTTAATAAAATAAAAAAAAAATTAATCATCTTCCTTTATAATGCTTTCTAAAGCTGTTACTTGTATGAATAATATTGAGAATATGTATGATTTTCATATCAAATCTGYGTAAGATGCTACAGTTTGTGCCATAACCTGAGGTTAGGTTGTGAGTAAACACACTGCCAAAAATATCCTTTGGAAGTATGGCAGCTAAAGCAGCTTTGGGAGACCTTTGTCTGTGGGTTTAAAAATGGAAATATGCTTTTTAAGCATTATGCCAAGTGGAATTCCAGCCTTCTGTGCCTTGGCTGCAGGGATTTTGCAGAAGGGATTTTGTAGGGGATATTTTTTGGGGACTCAATCTGACAGAGCATGGGATACTTGTAGGACTGTCAGGATCAGGTGCAGTGATAATCACTGTTTATGGCTGTTCTGGAGCTACAAGCGTAGAGTGGTTGGTTGGGGCTTTTTGCAAATGTAAATTTTACTGTTCCTCTGGTAAATGTTCATTTCTTATACTGGTATATTCTGATTTTTAGCTCCACATAAGTCAGTATTTCTCATGCCAGTCAACACCCACAGTCCAGAGATTTTTGAAGGTGGCATTACTGATGCAAACTTGTGTCTTCATATTGGAATGATGATACCATTTTGTATGTGTGCCTAATGTCATAAATGCATGTGATTGTGCACTGTGGCTCATGCAAAAGTAGATGTTATGTATGCCATGAGGCAGTGCTGCTTGCCTTTGTTCTTGGAGTAATTGCTGTTTGGAAGTAGTCAGTATTAACAGGTTTTAAAAATATTTCAGGGTTTGTTTAAGGTATGATTTTTTTTTTTCTTTTAGGTGGTCTGGCTTTAGGTCAAGTACTGTTCTTCTATGTGAAGTACCTTGTTCTGTACGGTGTTCCTGCTCTCCTCCTTCAAATGGATGGACTCAAACCTCCAGCTCTGCCTTGCTGTGTGAGCTTGATGCACAGTTTCACTAAAATGTGGAGGTTAGTCATTGTTGCTTTTCAGGCAGTTTATTACTGATACATGGCAGTCARTAGAGCATGCATGTGTATTCATGCTCACGTACATGTTTGCTTTCCTGTCCTTGTGCTTTTTCTCTCACCTCTGTGATTCATCTTTAGTGCTTTTTAAATGAACTTCAACTTGACAGTTACTTTTTTTCACGCTGTGGAGGGATAAGGGCAAGTACCCATTTCAGCATTTTCATCCTTYTAATTATTAGAATTAGACTCAGCTGACCTAGGTCAGGTAATATAGCAATTATTTGTTTCAGTTATCTGTTCAGTGGTTTGTTTTTTCAGGCTAGGTCTAAACCCTACATTTCAGCTTAATCCTTCCAGAGATGGAAAATAAATGCTTGATTAATCACATGAGGAAAGCTGTGGTTATAATACTTCAGCATGTAGAGTCATATRCTAGAGGAAATCCTTATCACATAAAAAGTGCTGTGAAAAAGGYACTTGTTTATGAAGTAGGATGAATTTCTGGATCTGATTTGCTTTTAAGGAAGTTTCAGGAGAATATTTCTTTTAAAACTTATGAACTTTGAATCTTGCGTTTGCTTCAAGTCAGTGTTCACTGAAGTCTTTCACTGAAAACTGTCTCCCAGGTGGATTGTGCTTAATGTTTAACTTTCACTTGAATTCTCTCCCMTTTTGTTTTCCTCTGCATTATCCAATATTCCTTCAGTCCATGGGATTCTATGCCCCAGACTTCTAAAAACATCCTCCAAATGATTTAGACTTGCCAGTCTTTTAGTGCAGAGACTTCTTCTGTGTTCATGCAGAGCCTGAACAGAACAGTCCGTACTCCATCTTGTCTCTGACTTCTTTGTAATATGAATAAAGCTTTTAATTGTAGTCATAAAAACAGTGGGCCTGCTGTCATCAGAGTTTTATTGAATGAGACTTTAATTTTGTTTTCAGCTTGAAGCTAGTTGCAACAAGAGGGCTTTGTAGTTTATAATAGTTGGCAAGTGTAGATCTGAAGTAGTCAAATGCAGCAGGGATAGAGTGCAACAAACAGATGAATTATTAAAAATTATTTGAGCTATCAACAACTGCTTTGGTTTAAATGCTCTTTCAGAGTTTGCATTAACTTACAATCTACACAGTTAATATAGATATCTGTCATTTTTATCAGGCACTCTCATGAGAACATCATCTCTTGGCCTGCTGGCCCTTGCAGGCAGAGTTGCAAACATAAGCAATTTTTTTCCTTTTCCGATTTCTTATTCCAGGGAATCTATGTATGGCAATGGAGGTGACAAATGAAAATGAACTTCAGCGCAAACACTAATGACACTGCTGTGCTAGGTAGTTGTAACAGGTCCTGGGGAGGTGCTCTACACCTGCAAATGTGTGGGATATATCACAATAAAAGAATTTGGCATCCCTTAAAATATTTATAACTCTTGTAAGAAAATTGTAACTCATATCTAAGGAAAAAACTTAATTATTTCTTTATAAAAGGAAAAAGTATCAGTTGCTGATATTTACCTTTTGCTCAATTATTTATGTCAAGCATTCATTGTCAAAAGTAATAGAAGTTATCTCACAGATTGTATTTGTTTGCTTTGAATGCTGAAAAGAATATAYATACATATAAATATGTATTATATATATAATTATATGTAATATAGCTGATTTTGCTCTCAAAGCTCTTTAGTAGTAGAYTTTTCTGTAGCTGCTGTATTATGGGTCATTCTCAGTTATCTAAGAAGTGTTGTGAATGCCCTGAATTATGATGCCCTTATGCCTTCGCAGTTAAACTCTTCAATCACTCTACCAAAAGRCATTGCAGTCTAATGTGATGCATTGGTATGTTGTATAGGAATGTTGTATTAGAACTGTTTCTGACCTGTATTGACAGAACAGGATAGAAAGTTTGCAAATTACGGGTTTAGCGTAAAACAAGTGAAAAATGGGGTAACTTAATGTTGTGAAGCCTTATTAAGCATGGYACTGTGTTTCCTTATAGTTCTAAATACATGTCTATGGTTTGTGAATGAATACAGGCACATTAATGGGAATGTCCCTGACAGCTTTACCAGAGTTGGTCAAATTTAAATATTAATAATGCAGTGTCTAATTTTAACCTGGTAGAGTGAGATTTGTACCAGAGTCTTTTCATTTAATGGAAGTCTGGTAGAGCTTATTAAAGCTTCTTAGGGCCAGGCTGGGAAGTGAAGTGGGTTGGAATGATCCAGATGACATGGAGTATTACCACTCTTACCTTCTGGCGGGCATCAGGGACACTGCTCAGAAGGATGTGCTGGTGTGTGTGTCCTTGGCTAACTCTTCCCCTTTAKGCYGGTATCCACTTGAGAATAATGTCASAAGCAGGGTGTTAGGTTGGCTGGACTTTCCAAGGCCCAGTGTTACTATTTTTGTCTCAAAGCTTTTAGCAGTGTGCATTTTGAAGGGGAGAAGGTAGCCTGGAGAGAGAGACAAACATGAATGTCACAATGTAAGGAATGCAAATAAGACTAAGGAGTCTTCCACCACCACCTGGTGTCCTTTGAKCATAACACCACAGCTCTTAATCTGATCCATCCAGACCAGTGTCACTTACAGTCAGTACAAGCTGACATAATTTGCTGTGGTACAGCAGGAGGAAGAGCTTTTAGTCAGGAAGGTAAGAAGGGTACCACAGTGTGTCTAAAGTTTTTCTAGAGCTGAAAAGCAAAGCAAGTGTTAAAAAAACAAATCAAGTATTCTGCCTCTCTGTTTGTGGTACTAAACAATAAACCAAATTGTGTTCATTCAAACCTAGAAATAAAAGACTTTGATTATAAAAGTTATCAACCCTGCAGTAGGCTCTCCCTAATTCACATTTAATCAAGACAATCTCTAGAGTCAAAAAATTACCARTCTTGTTTGCTGTCTGAAAACAAATGCAGGTGTTGAGTGTGTTACTGTGGTTTTATTTTACCAGGATATCATTAGCTTGCTAAATAGGCATCTGCATAGATAATAAGTRCATAGTAAATACATTGCTATTCAAAAACTTTTTTATAGCTTGAAAAGGAGTCTCTGAGTTCTTGATTTTCAGAGAGAATAGCAGTTCAGTGGCACACCAACTTAGTTTTTAAAGTCTGCTTTACATTAAGCCATGAAGAATTAAAACTCAGTTTTTGTCACCAAGGTTAAAAGCAAGGTAATGAATTATGGGAGAGAACCAGTGTTGTTGGAAACTTGTGCTTTTAAAGAATTGGCTCATGCTTGCTATACAACTTCTCAGGTGGGGCTGAATTGTGTAGTGTAACTGGAAGAAGTTGTGCTACTGCTGAAACTTGTGAATTGAAACTTCAATGTGGAAAAATATCATACTGGAGGATAGTAATGGTAATGGAAACTACAGAAACTAAAGATAGTACATAACTAAATCCTATATAAACTTTGACATATTGGTAAATTACTTTGGCCACATATTCCCTMGAGAAACTTAGGTCTGTTTGTAAATTAGGACAACAGTTAGCTCAGTTGCTGTTCATGGAAGAAAAAAATCATGCTTCCATTTTTGTGTTTTTATACTGTTACTGAGTGTGATGAGTGATCTTCTGCAAAAATATCAGACACATTAATTGGATATGTTTTGCCATGCTGTGGGAAACAACATGACATAAACCCCCCAGTTATTTCTGGTCGCAAAGTGATTTGAAATGTGCAGAAGCACAACAGCTTGATGATGCTCAGAGGGCTGGAGCACCTCTCCTATGCAGRTRGTTTGAGAGAGTTGGGCTCAGYCTGGAAAAGTGAAGCCTCCAGGGAAACCTCATTGCAGCCTTCCAGTACCTAAAGGAGGCTTTAAAAAGAGAGGGAGAGAGACCTTTTTATGCAGGCAGATAGTGATAGGACRAGGGGAAATGGTTTTAAAGTGAGAGAGGAGAGGTTTAGATTAGATTGTAAGAACCAATTCTTTACTSAGATGGTGRTGTGGCACTGGAACAGGTTACCCAGAGAAGTTGTSGMTGTCCTATCCCTGRAAGTGTTCAAGGCCAGGTTGGATGGAGTCCTGATCAACCTTGTCTAGAGAGTTGTCCTTACACATCAGGGGCATTKAAACTAAGTGATCTTTAAAGGTCCATTACAACCCAAACAATTCTGTGATTCTATGACTGCCTCTGTTTCTTTCCACCTTGAAATCTGCTCATTACCAAATATCTCAAAATAGTTTGGAGGCAAGTGTGTTGGGAGCAAATTCTGCTAAGACTTAATGCATGTTTAGTATAGGTTAGTCTCAGTAAGAGTAGAGGCTTTTCAAGCGGGGAAGCAGAAGTAGCATATGAAAGATAGATTTCATTGTAAACTATTTAGTAGAAAGAAAATGGAGTCGAAGCAATGCTGCCAGAGAAAGATAAAAATGCAGTTATAAAGATCTGATMATTTTCAACTACAATGCTTTAAGTTCTAGATTCCACTCTGTATTTAACACCCTGATTCTTGACGGACAACAGTCTGACATGAGGCAACCCCCAATTTTCTTGCATGCTAAGGAGTGGGCCGAGGGCTGTATTTTGCATGTACAGACACACACTTCTATGTGAACATGTTAAATTTATGCCATAGATGTTTTAGTGACATCCAGAAATGGCATCTGGATTATGAYTTGCAAGAAATTGTCTGCAATTCAGTTTAGTTTATCAGCCTCATTATTGCTGAAGATTATTTGCCTGACATGAAAAAAGTGGTCTGTGTGCAAGGTCTCAGTGAATTGTTTTAAATTATGGATTAGAGTCTACTGTGGGCTCATCACATTCTTTGCTATAATGATRCCACAGAAAATAGATCTACAGATGAAAATGTAAATTTATCTGCATTTGTTTCTTCCTCACTCTGGTACTTTCTGCCTACTTTGTTGTTCCTGAAACCTTCCTCTTTCTGGAAACAATTCCTTGGGTATGTCTATCAAAAAGGACTGTACCAGTGTTTTTCCCTTTGGTTTGGATTTTTCTTGGGAAAGACAAGTCTAATACTCATGTGTGAATGTGAGCACAAGAGATCACTGTGACTACATGCAGTAATTGTGGAATAATGAAGAGCCTGCAAAAACTTGCTATCTTTTGTTTCTGGTGTAAACTCTTGATAGTATTATTTAATTGTCTCTTCTTACTTTATGGTGAGGACTAGAATAGATTTTAAGCAAAGAAAATGAATTTCCAGACCTGTAGAGGAAAAGTAATTATATAAGTATATTTTCMCCTGTGCTTCTCATTGTCTCAACCCAGTTTAACATGTACTTTCTGTTCTTCAGACTTCTGATTTTGTGTAGTAGAATAAATAATTTTGGGAATTAGYTTGTTAAATACATGAAAACAAGCTGCTGAAAGGCTTTGCAAAATATCATTAAGGAAATTTAAATAACATCAGAAGTGGAGTTTCTGTCAGTGCTTGGCTTGGGCAGCTTGCCTCTCKTAGATTCCCAAGTAGCCAATGTCTGGCACAAGTTAACACAAATATAATTGTGTGTAACAATAGCAACTGTAGCTGTCCTGCAGATCCGTGTAGTCAGGATGACATGCTTGCCTCTGGGCTCAGAATAATGTGCSTTTGTGTTTAGGGGCTGGTACTCTWACAAATGGTGAAAGGCTCGMTYTTTCTGTTTGGATCTTGTAGTGCTYTTTTGTTGTGGTGGTTTTGGATAGGCTGATGGATGGTCTGAAATTAGAGTTAGCAGATTTTCTCCCTAAATTTCCCGCTATGAGTTCAGTTCTCTGATTGCATGTTAGTAATRATGGCAAATTGCTGTTGTGCAACCTGTCATTTGGAGGTAATTGCAGGCCAGAGAGGAAGGATGCTGAGTGATAGGTTAAACTTCTTTACATGGCAGGTGTCCTCAGGAGTAGTGAAGTTACCAAGCCTTGAAAAATTTGCATGAGGGAAGGAGAGGCAGGCAGTGAAAAGAAACTCCACATCTCCATGGCAGTTTGAAGAAGGGATTCAGTGTGAATCAYCCAAAACCTGGTAGAAATTTGAGTGGCACATCCAGATCTGTGGCTCACATCTGCTGCCCACCTAGCTGTGGAAAGGGTTGCAGCAGCTGCTTTCCAAAGCTGTCGGAAGACCATCTCTGACATTCTGTGCCTGAGGCAAGGATGCTAAGAATTAGAGCCAGGGACCAAGCCTACTTATATTATGACCAGAGAATCTCATTTTCAGTGCTATAAATGGCCTAGCAGTCATCTTCAAGAGGATCAGGTATTTTCCAAGTGATTTGTTTTGTATTTGTCCTACAATTCTAGACAGCTATGTTTTTGAAAGCACTCTACTTGATGTTTGTGATGGGCAGTACTGAGCAACTGGAACCGAGACACAAGAAAAGGAAAGACATGCTTATGCATTTTTCCCTTTCCTCTGCAATTTAGGATTGTCTCTTCTGGTATATTTTTACCCTTTGATACATTCAAAGAAAGAAGTTGTCCAGTGTGTTGTAGGCAGTGTATTAGGTAGAACAAGTACATCTTCTAATTACCTAGCTTCAAACTGGTTTTAATCTTAAAAAATATTAATGCTGCAGTTTTCTACTTCTAAGTCAAAAGGCATCTTTTCCCTATTTGTGTGTTTCAGAGGTGAAATCCTTTAAAATAATACTTTTCCACAGATAAGATATTTGGACTAGAGTTATGCCCACAATGTTGAAACAGCTTAGAGCTTATGAGTAAAGGAAAATTTATTGAAAATGAAAAGTACTGCCGAAGTGTGCAGAAGCCCATGTCTGCAGACTTTAACACTTAAGTCATAAGATTAAGTTTCTTGACCTGTCTGTSCAAGTATACTGGATCAGATCCCAAATCAGCAGTAAGAGTAACATACAAGCTTTCATGACACAAGTGGTCTTATGTATGTGCTTAGAGAGATGAGTGGTGTGCTTTAAAACCCTTAAAGAATATTAAGTTTCCATTCTTGAGAAGATTTTTGCATGGACTTTGAGGATGCTGACTCTTGGAAAAGGAGATGCTCTTYTTCTTTCTGTTGATAGGTGGAGCTGAATGTAAGGCACGACTCCCTTTGTGTCCTTGTCCTCTACAATCCCTGTGGTATTGTAGAGGCAGGATGGTTTGGTGTTAAATACACAGTTACTGTGTGGAGTGACAKCTGGGGTCAAGGTGAGCTTTTGAAGAAGAGCGTCCTCCTTAGGTTGTGGAGTTRTATGTAACCTTTAAATATTTTACTTGCTTGCCAATACCTGAATACTTCCATTTCTTGCAAAAAAAAGTTGGCTATTTAATTGCAGAATTAGTGCATTTTTTTAGTAGTGGAATAACTTGTTTTAAAGGTGAAAAATTAGTCTCACAGATTTATTGTATTTTTTGTTAACTCGATGATACTTAAAGCTGTGATGTTTCCAGCTAACATGTCACCTAAATATATGAAAGAYTGAAATTCTGGACTAGTTAGCCATTCTCTCACTGATGGAGACAAAAGATWTAACTGCTTTTGATATCAGCTGAATTAGTGCATGGTGCAGTTACTGACTGTACAGTTCAGTTTGCTCGTTATATTAAAGCCTTGAAAGGCTCCTTAAATCTCTTCAATAGAATATAAAATCTATTTCTTTGGGGTGTTAAAAGAGGTGCAGTAATGAGGCACCCTCATTCTTCTTGGATCGAAATTACATAATTATTGGGAATTTATTTGTGTGATGACTGCATTGTTACTGTACTTTGAAATCKCTGGGATTTTTAACAATCAAGCTAAACCCACCTATTGCTCTTGACCTGTGAAGCACTTTCTTCCATGTACTGGATATGAGCTCTGCGTAGATACAAAGTATTACTGCTGCTCACATTTGGCAAGCAGCACTCTGCCTGCTCACAGCTACTGTAGAAAATGAGTAATGGCTGTTAATAAACTTGTTTGCTCTGTTTGCAGTAAGGATAGAGATCTTGCAGCAATTAGACAATCACACTGCAGTGCAGGAGTCTTACKTGATAAAGACTGAGGGAGAACTTCCCCTATGGGAGTTTGCCACTAATGGGCGTTAGGTTTCATCCAGTCTCCATGAGCTACCACAAGGTTTTGAAGAATTGGGGGAGGTATAAAATTAAAGTAATATTTCTTCTGAAGGGTTGTAGGAGAGATTAACAGAATACAAATGAGAYTTCTCTTTTTAAAAAAAGTGTCTGCTGAGCTGTATCACCAAGATGCAATGTGATTGGATATGTGAGAAACAGAACCAATTTTTTATTTCAAAGCCTCCCAGGTAGGCAGACTTGTGTGCAATTTTATGTAAACACTGGCAATGGCTGATGCCTGCTAAAAGTTCTGCTCTGGCCAGGAGATTATAGAGGTGAGGTAGAGTCACTGCCCAGAATCATTAAAACATTCCTCAGGCCTTCTGATATAATACAAGTTCTGTTTGTAAACTGAACTAAAATAGCAAAACATTTTAGGTTCTGGGTCCAGTTTGTTGGCTGGAGGCCACTAGCATTGTGAAGTATTTTTCTGTGGTCCTCAAAAGAGCTTTCTCCTTGAGGCTGTCTTACTGTGACTTATTTTTACTATGCAGGTCTSCAGCCTGAGTTCCCAGCTGATAATTGAAACTGTGCAGATGAAGCTTTGAGACTTACTAWTAGTTCCTACTTGGAGGTGAAACTGTGYCTTACAAAATGCRCACCAAAGTTGGACTGTATCCTGCRTTATACAGACTGTCCAAAGTCAGTCCAGGTACATTTCTGCTTYCCTTGAAATCAGTGAGGGTTTTGTGCTGATTTTCATGGGGTCAGGATTTCACTGTGGATTTCCACCTTTTTCATCAGTACAGGAAGCCCAAGCTTCTTCTTGTGATGCTATGCAGCAAATACTTCCCAWGTAAAATGTTTAGGGCTTTACCTTAAAGTGATCACACATTTATAGAGGACTCTTTGTGAAGTAAGGTGAATGTTTGTGCATTGGCCACATTGCTGCTGCAGAGCGCTGTAGCACTGAGCAGGAACCTCTGTATGGAGGCATTGAGCACAGGCAGAACACAGTGGCAACATTGGCTATTCTAATACTGGAGGAARCCAAAAGGCAAGTTGGTGTACTGCTGAATCATTCCAGGAAGAAACAGAACAGAGATTCAAAGTGTTTTATCTAAGCATGGAGTGTTAAAATTCCAGTGTGTCCTTAAGCAAGTGTCAGAGAATGATAAAGATATCTTCATCTATATACAAGTTCTGCCTATTACTGCTGGAACAAGAAATTGTTTGTCAAARATATGATATGAGAGCATTTGACAGCCTTCATATTTTTTCTTTCAAATGGAATAGATTTTTATTTTTACTCTTAGCTGCATTTTTATATTGAAATAAAAGCAAACCACTAATAGTTTACTGCATTGWAGATGGTTAAAGTCAAAGTCAAAAACAAAGTCCCTTGAAGCTTGAGGTCTAGGCTTAGCAAGTGGTTGAGGTCTTGATGTTTAAACGAGCATTGAATTCACCTAAACAGGATTTTTATCATTAGATTGAGCTGTGATTTTTTTCTATGTTGCATGGTAAGAATAGAGATGCATAGGAAATAATAGGATTTGTCAAATGATAGGATGCCAAAAGAGTTCCATATATGCATTTGTTCCCAATTCCACTACTATGTCAGTGGGCAGACTAAGATCTGTATGTGGGTGGAATTCACCAAGTGTCTTGCACAAATTGAAAGGCTGGTCTCAAAAATCAGAGCTCCATCATCCTGGAACATCCTAGTGTGCAGCAAAAGAGTCACCAGAAAAATGTTAAAATGTGACTTTAAAGACTCAGTGTCCAAAAGTCTATTCTGTAGTTTAGGTAAAGGATAAATCCAAACTTCTTTCATCAGGCATCTCTCAGTCTTCCTTTTAAAAACTAACAACATTGCACAATATTCACAGTTTAAGTGAATATTTTCAGTTTGTTTACTTATATTTAACTCTACTGCAGTCATCTGTGACAATTTAATTGTTGTTTTTCTATTTTCAGTTGYGCATCAGCTTTCTAAATAATGTATTCAAGTGTGAAGGCAGTTACGTTATTTAGAAGAAGAATTGTGCTGACTGTCACTGAAGAGAAAAGCTTTACCTGAAACCTACACCTTCATAGCAAACTTGCAGAAAAACTGAATCAATGCAAGCTGTGGACAGGCAAAAGTGTCTTTGGAAAAATTCAGATGGCTTTCCCAGATGTTTATTTAATAATGRAGATGATGGTTAATCAATTGGTAGCAGTCACTGCTTGAAAAATACTTATTCTGTTTGGTAGGCTGTAACCCCCTCCAGGGGATTTGCTTTAGCAAAGTTTTATAGCTCATYGAGACATTAAAYAATAGCACTTACAAAACCCACACATAGACTTTCCTTTCCTGTTAGTAATTTAACTCTTCAGACAAGACTCTAAAATCRTTTCAGATTCACATTGCACGCCTGYAATTATCTGAAATTTGGAGCATTYATTTTTAAGGGWTTGTCTCATCTTTAAGGGGAGGCTYCTAWCTGTAAGCTCTTGCTAGAARAGGTGGAGCAATTAAACAATTTGATTGCTGTGTCAGTGAAAGCAGCTGTCATTCAATGACTTCTCAGTCTCCAGTGCAAAATATTCTGGTGTGGGAAGGACTCTTGGTCAGCAGCTCACTGGCTGGATGCCACATTTATTTGCAAAGACAGCTAATGAAAGTGCTAGTCTTGCAAACACTTCTGCAGTTAAATAGGACAGGCTACTCTGAGGCTATGGGAATGAGTTTGACTTTCTAGTGTCAAGTTTAGCCATATTTTAAAAGGAAAGGCCAAGAGCTGTTGTTGAAACATTGCAGCACCTAMAATGCTTTTTTTAAGAGATGTTGAATACCCAGAGCACCAAAGCTATAATAAATAACCCACTTGTTGGATTTCATCACTGCCATAAATGGCAACCAGGCTGATTTGAAGACATTTAAGTGCAATTATATGGTTTGCTCCAGCGAAGTCCTGTCCTGCTTATAGAARTGACACCATTCCTTTCTGCATTCAGAAGTGTTTATGTTCAGTGGCARCATGGCTGTTTTTAAGGTGTCTGGGATATTTCTGTCTGCAGTGCAATGCAGTCTCTGGGTACACAGTATCACATTTGCCTGTCTCCATCTACGTTACTAATTTTTTTTTTTAATGGCAAACTATCTACATAGGTCTATTCCCCTAAAGACAGGGCCCCAAGTGAAAACCAGGTCTGACTTTGAGTGGTGATGTACTTGCTGCTTGCAGTGAGCATCTTCCTGAAGTGCRCGGTTAGCCAAATGCTTTGCAGATTATGCTGCACATTGCATGATTTGCTGTACTTTGTGTTCAGGATTGGTGTGCAGTCCAGCAGTCCTGGGGAGGAACTGACAGAAAACACAGCTGTACTGGTTTCTCTTCAGCACATGGCTTAAAAACATGGATGTATAAAACCAGGGTTGGGCAATTCAAGTTACTGCAATTAGTTTCATAAAATATGGCTCTAGTAGCTGCCTTAGCTTTAAATTGATTCTTAMGGTCTTGGCATGTGCTCAGTACTTACATATTTTTGTATCATTGTAAATTATTGGGAATGAGATCTTACAATCAGACCTTGTGATCTTTAGCCATCATACTGGAATTGTGAATTGTAGTCCCTAACATGGCTAATGACCAGCAGTTTTCATCTAGACACCTGTGGAGTCAAGTCTTTAAATAACGTAGCCTGGCATAACTTGATTGAATATAAAAGCTGTGTACTAAAGGCTCACACAATTCCCCTGTTGAGGAAACCAGCATTTAGACCTCAGTAGAAGGTGCAGCTTTGTGTAAAGGGGGACTATAAACAATCCACTGGATGCCATGTGCTTACAACTTTTAATTTTCCCCCCATCATCCTTGTTCTGAATGAAAATTTGAAGACAGGGTGTTGCATTATGCATTTAGCTTTCAGAGCAGGAGCTGCGAGTCTGAAATAATTTTGAAACCTCTGCCTGCAATCATACATCTTTCTCCTGCAGGTACATTTTCGAAGATTGTGTTTTGGAAAAAGTCTTTGTTGATTTAGTGCATGTGTATTATTTATCACCAGTCTATGGCTGATGTACTAGGAAAAGACAAGTTTGATTATGAAGGATTGTATGTATGTTTTGTTGAATTGTATCAAACTAGAGCTTCCATGCTTAACAAAAGCATGAAAGTTGTGTACGAGCTGTGATTCAAAACTGCCCTTCAGAGGAGTGGAATTAGGAATGCCTTTATAAAGATAACAGCAATCAAATTGTCTGTACTGTGTAACTGATTATGAAATTGAGGTTAAATATCTCTCCCCTTTGTTGTTCCTTTGGCAAGTTAAGATTCTGCTCTGTTCAAAGATTATTATTGTTTGATAAACTGGATTTTACTTATTTCTCTAAAATTTGAAATACTATATGGCTATTTATATTTGAGCAATATAGAGAATTTAACTGGTAAATATTTTTTTACTCATATTGCTGTGGATATCCTTTTTCTTGTTGTCTTAGATTTTAAAGAAAACGTTTCTGTTGAAAAACTGTGTTTATAGGATTTCCGAAACCTATGCAACTGAGGCATTTGTGAAACATATGGAAGTGAAGYACCCTAAATTGCAAGAACTGCCAGCTAAATCCTGTATTTTGCAGGGAACTTCAGGATTTAACAAGCTGTGTGAAATTGATTATAAACTTTGTTGTAATACCAAGTAATATGGATGTATTTTATAGGCAGTAGATGATCTTGTTCAGTGTCCACATGGCAGGTGCAACTCTCTGTCAGTTGTGGGGGMCACTGCTGTGCCTGATGGGTGGAGTCCTCTGATGTTGAAGGAGCCACTATGAATTTTTTAATGTAAATACAGTGTAATTATTCTCTTTTTTCATGCAATGAAGTTGCTTATTTCACCCTGAAGTTACAGTCTTGACACTGCTATACAACCCTTCTTTATCCCTTTTTAACATTTTCATCTGAGAATGGAGGGATGAATTACACATGCTACATCTGTTTCCATTGCTGCTTCCCCGTATTTTTACTTGTTGACTTAACTGCAGTATGTTTTTAAATGTGAACAAAAAGAATAGTCAAAAGTGTCTGGGGTAGTGTTTTGTCCTAACCAGTCCCCTGTAATTCTTTCAGTGTGTTTGCCTTGCATAATGTTTCTGCCTGTTTTCCCATGTGTATGTACACGATATCCATTGCCTTAAGTAATACAACCATTTCTCCCATTTACGATTCAAACTTGTTCAGCCTTGTTGTTTGTGCTTTTGGATCTAATCAATGATACTATCTTGAGGTGTCTAAGATCTAGCTGTACACTCAGATGATRCTGTATAATCTCAAAATTCTGTTATTCATAGTGTAGTTATATCTTAAATAACTGCTTACATTGTTAAGAATTCAGGATCTTGGATAGACTGAAATAGTCTTGGATAGTTGAAATGTATCAGTAGAAAATCAAACTGAGAATTAATGTCCCTGTCTGTGTATGCTGAATTATATTCAGTGAGGCTCTGATAATTTCTCCTTCATTTGATTTATTGTAATAAATTGCTTCTATCCATGTTCATTTGTAATATTTTTTAAAAATATTTCCACAAAATATTCAGTAGCTGAAGCCCCTATGAAATAAACTTACAAAACTTTTCTAATAGGAAGTGTTTTATACATATTTTATATGAATATATATATAATGTTTAAAATATTTTGTAAAGATTGATGAAAGAGGGAAAGCATGGCATTTCATGACATATACAACAAACTGTCTTGTTTTCCCTCTTGTCTGAACTCACTCTTTGTCATCTTTGTCCACCCCAATTTCCCTCCGCTTTGATCATCCCCAGTTAGCAGGACCRTTGACTTTCCATGCTTGTGATAAGCCAAGTCCTCTGGCTTTTGGTTCAGTGTCAAAAGCAGCCATAGTKTTATGTTCCACATTCCTGTCCACAAGAAGCTCAAGTGGCTGTGTCCTGTCAGACTGTARCAGATTTGGACATTTCCATGGAGAATAGCATGGAGAGCCTGGCTGAACATGTGCAAGGTGGCTGTTCAGCATACAGTGCTCCTGAAACTGTGCAAGTTTCTTCTTTCCATCCCAGCACAAATATACTGAGTGCTTAGTCCTAGGAACAAAAGGTTTTCAGAGCTATMAATACAGACTGTGTCCGGCTCCAGTACAGAAGACTGACTGTACAACACAGAATATTTTAGTGAAGAGAGGGAGCTAAAATACAATGTGTATCCAGGCTGGAGGAATGCAGAAAGATAACTGGATGCACTTCATGCAATTTAATTGCACAACAATATAACAGTAATAGAAAAGGGGGAATTATTTCAGCAAAGTCATGTGAAAAATACAGATTTAATGATGACTGGTTACATGTTTCTGGCAGAATGCTTTTCTGTTGCAAGACAACTTTTCAGTGAAAAATTTGCTCTTCTTCTCTCTACCCTGCAGATGAGTGGGCTTTCCTTCCTTGTTAACTCCTAGAATCTCTGCAACTCATTATTTGTCTGCTGGTATCAGGATCCCATTAACTAACTGATGTTTTCTCTTGCTCTTTCACTTAGAAAGCACACTGCAAGCAGTGCAGTGTCAAAATAAAACTGTGTTGTACTCACAATGACCAATTTTGGAACGGAATTCTCAAGACCTTAGTAGATGCCAAAATGTTTTCTGTGTACCAGAAGTGTAAGCCCATTCCAGAGAAAGTCCAGCACTGGGAATGAGACATTTCCATTTTCCAATTGTGCCATTATGAGCAGTTAATCTGGGGTTATATGGATAGTTCCATAAAGCTGGCACATACTTCAGATATGATGTAAATGTCTCAAATCAGCAGATACCTTCCTGTATAGTCAAGGATTTGCTAATACATTGTTCATGAGCTTGGTTCTCCTGAATTATCTGAGGAACAGAGAAACCAGAAAAGGGGAAGAAGTGCTGGCAGCTGCTGTCAATGTATGTTGTTAGGGCTGAAGATTTTAGACATGGTTCTTGTAATTTAATGTGATCTAACTTGTACTTAMTGTCAGAAGTTCTCAAAGTTAATTTCCTTACCGAGGTGAGTGGAATACACTTGCAAGATCTGCTTCTTGGTATATTCTATATCTGAGGGAGACATAAGGGGAATTTTTTATGGTTTTTTATCATGGAGAGGATTCACAGCAGTCCCTTGCACTGTAGTGCAGTACAGAACAGAAAAGGGGAAAAAGGTTCCACAGCAGTTTTGCACAGAGGGTCTACTTGCATATGACAGAAAATGTGCTGGTGACCAGGATGCTTACACTATTTCCAGTAACAGTATATGGACAAATTATGCTTTATATGGGTTATAACAGTCTGACTGTTAGTACTTCAGTGAATAAATACTCCAACAAGGGATCAGTGGGCTTTTTAACATGCACCTTAATCTTTTCAAATGATGTTTATCGTAAATTCCACGTGTCATTACAGAAGAGAAATAGTGTATTAAACTTCTGCTCTTTGGTTTATCAATTCTAGTAACTTTATATTTGGTGTTACTGTTTTGAAATACAGTGTACAATACCCAACAGTGTAGTATTTTTTAATAACTAGAATTTGGTGGATTTTTTTTCTTACAGAAGTTTTGACGTTGGGCTRCATCGCTTTCTGGTCAGGTAAGCTGATACTTATTTTGAATTGCACTTTCATTTTAGTGTGRTTTAACCTCAGCTGGCAGCCAGGCCCCACGCATGCTCACCCCCTGCATTGGGATGGGGAGAGAACTGGAAGGGTAAAACTGAGTTGTGGGATGATGTAACAGATTAATAGGGTAAGTATGAGCCACACACCCAAGCAAAGCAAGGAATTCCTTCATCACTTGTCATGGTGACTTGGGAAGACAAATGTCATGACTCAGAATGTCCCCTCACTACTTCCTTCATCCCCCAGCTTGATACACCAAGTGTGACACTGTATGGCATGGGATATCCCTTGGGGTCAGCTGTCTGACTGTGTCCCCTCCCTGCCCTCCCCTTGTGCACCCCGAGTCCTCTCATCAGTGGGATGGCGTGAGGAGCAAAACAAGCCTTGACTTTATGCAAGTGCTGCTTTGCAGTAAGAAAAACATCCCTGTGTTTTTAGCAATGTTGTTTTCTGCAAAAATCTAAACCACAGCCCCTTACTAGCTGCTATGAAGGAAACAGACCCTATCCCAGCAGAAAACAGCAAACTTGTTAAAAAGCATTGCTGTTGCTACAACTAGAAATCACTATGTCAAGTCAGTGCTACTTTATACTTTCTTTGGCAAGATCTTCTGTTTATATATTAGCTTGGAAAACTTTAACTATTTGTTTTGGATGTCTACCCAATGGCACTCTCTAAGGAGCTTCTTCAGGAAAACATGACTCAGGAAATTTCAGTGGYTGTGAAAATATAGATTTTTCTTATACTGAAGAAAAGCTTTTAAAAACTTTTCCACTGGTAACTCTAGTACCTTCATACCTTGTAATAAGGGCTTGAATTTTATAGGAAATTGGGAGTGTGGAGGGGAGTCTTGTATTCTCAATAGAAAAATGAATTGATTCAATGCATACAATGGACGGTGTTCTGAAGATGAATAAGGGAAGTTGAATCAGTATTTGAGTGATTTGGTTGATGGTATCTAGAGGAATGAAGCAATTAAAGCAGGGCACTTCAGCAAGAAAAGGGAGGTTAATGCATTTGAATTCTACACTGAGAAACTGTTTTTGCTGTTTAGAGTTTTTTGTGTGGGCACAAATAATGTGTTTACCTTCATTTTTAATAAAATCCCTATTACCATTTACTGATCTTTACAAAGAAGGCTAGTGTGTACAATGCAAGATGAATTTTTCTGGGGTCTTTGGCTTTTTTAGAGAATTCTATCAGTTATTTCATCCACTGAAATGTTGCAATRTATCCATCAGTGAAGTATTACCTTGCAAGAATGAGCCCAGTATGTATAAGCCAGAGAATGCTGTTTGGGTCTCACCCTAAGGATCACGTGGTGTCAGCCTTTCCTTAAGTTCGCTTTGCTGCTGAACTCTTTAATTTAGGCTACTTTGTCATATTTCCTGGATAATGACTGCCTTAAACCTTTACACATGAGTCTTTGTGGCTTTAATGCAGTGTTTTTTGACACTGGATATGAGATCATACAAGCCTAGGGCCCAAGGAAAATCGGGTTTGTTTTAAAATTGCGCAGGCCAACCCACTTAAAACTTATAAGCAATAGACTTTGTAACCTTAGGGTTATTTTGTGTATTTCTTTGTGTGTAACMTTACAGTGTTCATAGATAGCTCTCATCATTCAAGGCTACTGTCAATATTTCTGAGTGTATTTGTATTTCAATGTTTAAAAGTTTTAAGGCAACTGAATAAGTTCTGGTATCAGTTAAATTAGGTGTATCTGTATTTTGATGAGCAGATTTTGTTTTTGAATAATTATATAAGAAATTGAAATCATTATATCAAGACAAGTTGTAAAATATGCCACTTTGTAAAGGAAATACAGTGCCCAAGAACACTCCTGGGAATGTGTACAACTGCCTAACAAAGAGTAGAATCATGGTAAGCATTGATGTATTACCAGGTTTGAGCCCCTGGTAATGCTTCTGCCATAAAATATTTTTATTTGCTTCATACAAAGAATGTAATAAGATATTATTCTGTTATACAGCATCGCATTACATCCCAAGGAGATGCAGTGTTTGAGTTGTATGTTTGTGCAATCCTGGACTGCAAACAGCCATGGAATTGGAATGAGTTGAATGTCATCTTTGACTATGTATCACTTTTTCAAAGCCAGCTATGCCCTGTGCAGTTCCTCTTCTGCCCTTAGCTTAGACATTTTCAGTCTGTTACCCACCTCTGTTAACTATTTGGAGAACCCTTACCTGCTTTCTCTGTAACTCTGCTGCTAAGGAGGAAGTATTTTTCCCTTCTGTTGCACCAGAATGAGTTTTGCTTGGGGTTTCCTTAACTAAAAAAAAAAAAAAAATTCTTTTTAGTAGATGACTTTGGAGTAGGAAACAGACTTGGTGTTAATCTCTCCTGTTGATCTGCCTTGTGAATTTTAGAAAGTTCCAGCCTTTTGTTGCCTAGACAGCCTCTGTTCCTGAACTTGCAGTTCATCTCGTGTGTTCTTAAAGTATCTGTCATACATGGTCCTCTTCACAGCTTTTGTTTCCATGTGAAATACAAGCAGCAGGAAAGGAAAAACCTGAACCCAAACAAACCTGAGTTGTAGGAAGCATTGAAGGTCTATGAGCTGGGAATTGAAATGCACAAGAGATTTTATTGTTTTAAATATACAGACAACCCTGCCATGGAACAGGGAGCCCACTATGACACATGCAAATATAAAATGTGAGGCCAACAAAACTAAAAATAGTCTCTGCTAAAAGGACAATCTGCCTAATTAAATGCTGATTGAAGGAACTAGCACTGTATGTACTAGCCTGGCAAACACATGATTTCCCCAAGTAAAGCATGACAGAAAGTATTACAGACAATTAAAACTACACAAGATTTTTTCTGTGTTCTCAGTAGAAAATAAATAGAAAATAATTTGTCCACCAAGCTATCTGTGTCTTGAACGTGCTTCTGTTAGTTTTTTTTTAAGATTGTTTGTTGAAAAGTTTTAAAATCCTGTCTTTTTAAATGTACAGTGGATAGGTACATATTATACTGTAATGACTAATAATGTGTTGTTTACTGACTTGGACTGAGCTGGATTCTGGGACTAGATTTTTAATCTCTGCTTGCAAGCTAAAGTCAGGTGGTGTCATGGAACCCTTTTTTTGTGAAAGTAAAATGCAATTGAGTGTGTGAGGTCTGGGTTTTGAACATTTATTAGCTATACCATCATATTTGAAGCAGGGATCCTGGAAGCTCACAAGGGAAGATTAGTACTTCTGTGGCTTAAGGCAGGGGTTTGAGAGTACTCATGAAAAATACACTACTACACTTGGAAGGTCATTTGCCCACTGTTTTCACACAGTGATATAAAAGAATCTATTTCTTATTACTTTTAGGATTAGCAAAATTATTAATCACATATTTTAAACACATGAGTACTACACAAATGTAGTAATATTTTTCCAACATGACTGCAGGAAAAAGAACCCTTCTTCTCCTTTATCAGAGCATTCTCAGAATGGAGCAATAGGTGTATTTTCAGAGTTCAAAATATATATAAATAGCCTTTGGTATAGCAGTTTAGAGGGGAAAGAGTAAGAGAGGCTGCCTGTTGCTCTTTGCTTACTGAAGCTGTTTCATCCTGGCATTTCATCCAGTGCTGAGAATMGGGCATTGGATGAAATAAAATTGTGAACTTGTGGGAATATTTACTGTCCTGATGCCAAACAGTGCTTCCTTTAGGACAGCACTGATGAGGACAGTGGGGAAGAATGACAGTTCCTGCAGGCATGATTCTTTTGAAAAATCTCTATGCTTTCAGCACTGCTGTGCCTTTGAAAGAGTGTGAATCATACTCATTTCAGTGCAGGTCTGACTTTGAAGAGAGCTGCAGGACCATGCACCCCAGTGTCTCTGAAAGGCATCCATCTGTTAGCAGCATTCTCAGCTCACCCATGGTTTGCAATTACTTTAAGTTGTGTTGAGTTGCAGGYTATTTAGGTTGGCTTAGTCCTGGGTGCAAATACAAAATACTCTGAATACAAAACTTGAAAATCACTTGCTTTTTTAGTTTTCTCAGGTAGTGCATGGCACACTTTACCTCTTGGACCAAAATTTACAGTGTGGTGACCTCTGCTGAATTTTTGGTTAGGAAAAGGGAGCGTCTGTGTGAGGGCAGAACGATCCCATGATGAAAGAGGGGATTATGGTTCTAACTAAGGTATGTTTATGAAAGAAGAAAGGGAAAAATCTGTTCCATCATCTGGCTCAACTCCATATACCATGGGATCCCACATCTTCAAGCTGTCCCAAGCCAAACAAATCTATGCCCCTGCTTAAAAAAAAACACCAAGCAGATCTTTTTATCACTGTGTTGAAAAAAACCCTCACAGAAACAACCAACCAAAAAAAAAACTAACAAAATCTCAAACAACAAAAAAACCAAACACACCCAAAAAATTCCACAATAACAACCCCCAAATTTCTGAGCTTCTCTTTAATCCACACAGCTCTTGGAAAATGAACATGTGCTGCAGCAGTTCTCTAACTCCATTGCTAGGTAAGCTCAGTGATGATTCTTGGCTCCAAGAGCTGGACACAGGATTCTGTGTGAGGTTCGCTGTAACACATGGTCCTCTTTTGGGAACCAAATACCACTGCTAATGCTCTACAGTCTCTGCTGCTCCTTTGAATGTAGCTGCCCATAAAATACTATTGATGATATAATCTGCTGTAGACAGGTTAGACAGCTTTAGTATTAATAGTATTGTATTAATGAGGTTCTGCTTTTCTCTAGCAGCATTGATAAAGATTTGTGGATAGACACCTCTGCCTTTGAAAGTGCTAGCTATCCCAAGGGTACATCCTTTTTKATTTGCTTTGTCAGGAAATTTGGCATTTTGGTTCAGTCTGTGTCCTGGATACCTAGTCATCCTTAAAGCATGCACAGCATAGAATCATGCAATATTTTTGTTCTAAGGAGCCATTGAGGATTGCCTTAACCCCCATCCTACCCTGG